CAGGCGGCCAGAGCTGTCCTCGCGGCAGCGCAGGAGCCCGTGGCGCCCTCTCCACGCTCTCTAAGATCTTCGGGACCTTTTCTCCATGTTGTAGACATATAATTGCTTGATAGCTGTTAAGACTATGATGAAAATATTTTGGTATAATTTGGATAAAATCTAGCCCGTGAGATACATGGAGAATGTGCCAAAGGTTAGGCCCCTTTTTGCCTGTGGAGGCCCCTCCAGACACCCCCCACACTCACCCTCACTCCTGGGGGCGTTGCTGAGTAGGGGTACAATCTATTAAACGTCAGGGTATCCTCAAGTTATTGAAACAGTACTAGCATCTTAATATTTTTAAAGTATTAGCAAAAACTTGTTAACGCTGGCTATGAAACCCTGAAATGCTTGCCCATTCCCATGTTTTTATTTACAGGAGAAAAATATAAATAACTCGGTGCTAAAAAAAAATTTTAAAAATGTTGTAGTCTGCGGGAATAGCACCAGGTGTCTGACAGGTGGGGTCAGACAGGACCTGGGTTCAGCAACCTCCATGCGTGAGTTCTGGCTAGGAAAGAATTCAGAGCCAAGACTCCAACTATAAGAGAACATTTATTTATAAAATCACAGAGGTGAAGGAAGGGCCCTTGGAGATTGGTAGTAAGAAAGGTAATGGTAACATGCCTGGGGCAGGGAACAGGAAATGGGAAAGGAAAGGGAAAGGCGCTGTCCTGCTCCCAGGAGGGAGAACACACTGTGTCCTCTGTCCTAAGGGTTTTAAGGGTGTAGATTTCAGGGGAGGTCCCAGGGCAAGATCTCAGCTGAATATTCAGTAGCTTTCTGGGTGTGTCCTTTCAGAGTGGGGTCTCCAAAGATTGATGGGTCGGTGCCAGGGCAGGGGGTGAGTATCCAATGCAGCTGGTCCTGACATTAGCCCTGGGGTCACTTGTCTAGTTTTGCTGCTTTTCTGGAACTGAAATACAACTGAAGCCTGGATGTTATCTCTAGGGAGGAAAGGTCAGGGGGTCCAAACCTCATGACCAGTGATATGCTAGAGGAGGAAAGGTCACTCTGAGGGGCAAGTTCCCACCCTACAATTGTCCTTTGCTAGGCACCCAGCACTTCCTGCCATGGTGACCTTGCTTGGCTCTTGTCTGCCTATCACATAAATAAAACAGAACATTACCCCTTAACTTTCTAGGATGTGCAGAACTAGAGACACATCCTACTTGCTGTTTAAGAGCAATTTTACTTTATCTGGGCTTGATACCAAGGAGAGTGCTACAAAGATGGCATTAATCTGAGATGAGTTTTGCTGAGGGGCCAAGAATTTTAGTTTTTACAATATTACCAAGATACTCCTTCAAGATACTCCTTTCCAAAATGTTTAATGATGTGAACCCAAAGAAGAAAATGAAATATTCAAATCCCTGGGAACAAAAGCTACAGTTAAACAAACTGACCTGACAGGGATATAAACAAAGTGGTCTGGGGGCGTAGGGGTAATGGCAATGAGCCCCTGATACACAGGGATCATGGCTTCACAGGCCACCTTTCTGGTGTCAAGGGCTCTGGTGGAGAAAATATAAAGAATGCTGTTCAAACAGAAAGTGAAGTCATGCCCTGAATAGTGTGGCTCAGTTGTCTGGAGCATTGTCCCAACACCAGGGGGTGGACAGGTTCAATCCCGTTAGGGCACATGCGGAGGCACCCAATGGGTGTTTCTCTCTCACATCGATGTTTCTCTCTCCCTCGCTATCTCTCTCTCTCACTCTCCCTTTTTCTCTCTGAAAATCAATAAAATTAATTTTTTTAAAAAAGGAAAGAAAATGAAGTCATGTTGTTGTCCTCAGCCCACCACACCAAGACCCAGAGAGCATGGGTCCTTCCTTGAGGACTCACCTATCCTACATAATCAGTGGGAAGTAGAAACACACACTCAAAAGCAGAGAGGACAGTAAAAGCTGCAATCATTCAGAATCAGTACAGGGGAGACACTGAAGGAAAATAATGGTATTAAACTAACCCCACTGGCTGGCTTCCTTTTTGTTTTTAATAGGTACCAAATAGGTTTATTCATTCATATATCTCATTTTTGAGTGCACTGTACTAATGCCCTAAATATAGTGTATCTGAATTTTAGGAAACATTTGACAAAATTTCTCTTAAAGTCATGAGGACAAGAGGCAAAATGTGGCTTCTGTGACAGCACAGTCACTTGGGCCCCTGAACCAGGATATAACAACCTCCTCCTTACCATCCCCTGGTAAACAGACACACCTTGGCCAGCCCTCTCTGCTCACCCTCGCCAGCTCCTTTCCTTGGGGTTACAAGAGAAGTCCGGTTATGACAAGTTGTTATAGCCTTAAGCAAAGAAATTAAGAATAATGACGGCAATTTCAACCCCAGACAGAAAGCAAAGTAGAAAGTATCAGGACAATTTGACCTTGAAAAAATAAAAAGGAAAACAGACTCACATTACGACTAGTAGTGTTAAAATATTTTCATGGCCAAAAGCTTTTTTAAATCAAAGGTTAATTAGCTATTGCTAGCAAAAAAAATTAAAAAAAAAAAAAATGATGCTGTTAATGCAATCTGAACCACCAGCAGCAGGGCTACGTGGGCAAAAAAGGGGGTTGCACAGAAAGTAACCTCACAAAGGAGCTCTGATCATAAATCACTAACAGGTCATGGTGGGTAGTCACACCGCAGGCATATAACTTTCTAGGAATAGGGTTACCTTGGACTTAAGCAAGCCCTGTCCATTGTTTCTGTGCATCTAGGTTAATACGCCTTTGAAATAAGCTGTAACCACCCTCAAGAGAGCACATAATCTTGTTAACTACCCTATAATCCAATCCTCACCTTGCCTTCTCCCACTTTCACGTAATCTTACTTACATTTTCTCCTTAATTTCACATGCATAAAAGAAGCTTTCCCTGGACTGTATGGCTCTATTCGTTGA